TGAGGAATGTCCCTTCTATTCCTATTTTGCTGAGAGTTTTGATCAGAAATGGGTGTTGGATTTTATCAAATGCCTTTTCTGCATCAATTGATATGATCTGTTAATTATCTTTGTGACACTGCTATAATTTAAATTATCCTAGGATCTAAAGTAATCAGAAGGTTGAAAAGTAATTGAAAATTTCACACTGAAAATCTTTTGGTATATTAGAATATTTTACCTGTTCTGTCATACTAACTCAGATTTAAATGAGGGGACTTAAGGAAACCATTTTTCTTTAAAAATAAAAAAAAAACCCACACTAATATCTTCATAGCCATCTGATCATAAAAAAAAAAATTACCTCAGTTTAGTACTAAAGTGGTTGAATGTTATGTTCGTGGTTACTATTTAAGGAGAGTGAGAGTGCACTTGTTTTGGCTGTGTAGATCGTTAATCTCCTTAGGATATAATTGATTACTGTAATTCTAAAACCAAACAAACTATAGCGATCCTTTGGAACAGAGTAGAACTGTCCCCTGCGATTTCAGTTTCAGAAGCAAACTGGCTCATCTTTTTCCCATGGAGTGGATGGTGGGTTTGAATCACCATATTCTGTTTAGCAACTGAATGCTTTTATCACTATGTTCTCAGAGCTCCTTAATTTGTAATTGGGCAAAGTAATACCAGTTAGCAACTGGAGTACCTGTTTCACAGGTGTACATATGTTACTCTTCAGTGTGGAAAGCTATCTGAGGAGCTCATGTGTTGAGTTTGACTTCAGTAGATTAGTATTATTTGTTCTACTTTTATCAATTCCTGGTCTCATACTGAGTTTTATGATGAATGCTAAGGGTTACTCAGACTGTGTCATCTGGTATTGCTGCTGTTGTTGTTAGGTACTATTGTATCGTCTCTGACTCATAATGACCCTGTGTACAACAGAACAAAACACTGCTTGGTCCTGTACCAGCCTCATGATCCCTACTATACCTGAGCCCATCGCTGCAGCCACAGTGTCAGTCCATCTTGTTGAAGGGCTTCCTGTTTTGTTGACCCTATACCTTACCAAGCATGACATGCTTTTCCAGAGAATGGTCCCTTCAGACAATATGACCAAAGTAGGTGAGATGAAGTCTGGCCACTGTCGCTTCCAAGGAACATTCTCACTGTACTTCTTCCAGGACAGATTTGTTAGTTGTATTAGCCGTCCACGGAACTTTCAGCATTCTTTTGCCAACACCGAGACGCAAAAGCATCAACTCTTCTTTGGTCTTCCTTAGTCATTGTCCAGCTCTCACATGCATATGACGCAATTGAAAATACCACGGCTTGGGTTAGGTGCATCTTAGTCTTGAAGGAGATATCTTTGCTCTTCGGCACTTGATTGGCCCAGTGCAAAATGTCTTTTGATGTCTTGACTGCTGCTTCCATTGGTGTTGATTGTAGAACCAAATAATATAAAGTGTTTGACAACTTCAGTCTTTTCTCTATCTATTGTGATGCTGCTTATTGGTCCAGTGGTGAGGATTTTTGTTTTCTTTATATTGAGGTACAATCCATACTTAAGACTGTAGTGTTTAATCTTCATCAGTAAGTGCTCCAAGTCATCCTCACTTTCAATAAGTAAAGTTGTATTGTCTGCATAGCTCAGGTTGTTAATGACCTTCCTCCAATTCTGATGCCACATTCTTCTTCATATAGTCCAGCTTCTTAGATTATTTGCTCAGCTTACGGATGGAATAGGTATGGTGAAAGGACACAACCCTGACGCACCCCCTTCCTGATTTTAAACCATGCAGTATCCTCTTGTTCTGTTCTAATGACAGCCTCCTGGTGTATGTTCAGGTTCCTCATGAGTATAATTAAGTGTTCTGGAGTTCCCATTCTTCTCAATGTTATCTTTAATTTGTTATGATCTATACATTGGATGCCTTTGCATAGTCAGTAAAACACAAGTAAATGTCTTGCTTTGAGCCATGATCCATCTGACATCAGCTATGATATTCCTCACTCCACATCCCCTTTTGAATCCAGCTTGCATATATGGAAGTTCTCTGTCATCTGGTGTACACATCCTTAAATACTATTGAGGCTTCATTAGTAAATCTTCCTCATCTCTGCTGCCTTTTTCTATGAAATACTACAAATAAGTAAATTTTTAACTTCTCTAATATGCCATACTTTGAATGAAAGATTGTCAGAGAGGGTGGCATCTCTAAACATAGACTATTTTTAATGGTTAGCACAAGTACAGTAATCAGGGTTATCTGGGGACTAGTGGTAGAGGGGGAGCTCTCTCTGGTAGCATAGTGCTAACCAGAAGGCTGGCGGTTCAAACCCACCAGCCACTCCTCAGAAGGAAGGTTGGGCAATCTACTTCCGTAGTGATACGGCCTCAAATCCAAGGAGGGGTCGCTATGAGTAGGGTCCGACTCAATGGCATATAACAACAACAACACCACAACACTGGTAGAGGAAATTTTTTTGTTTTGAAGGAAAACACGTAGCCAAAAAAAAAAAAGAGAAATGAAACGGCTGGAACTTATAGAAGTTACCGTGTCATATAGCCATGTCCTAGAGAAATTTAAAGCTTCCTATGTGCAAAAAGGACAAGGAGGCCACATGTTCTGACCTCCTCTAACCCTGCAAGAGGAAGACAGAATGACTATCAGCAATCCAAGGCCTATTCCTGCAAGGCCAGACATGCCACCTCCCTCCAGCCCTTTCACCAACTGTTCCTCCCAAAGCATCCACCATCTCTCTCCTGGGTTCCATAATTCACTGCAGTGGCCACACAGAACTCACAGATTACGGGGTTTATTAGGGAAGCACCAGGCTACAATTCAAGTTCAGGAAAAATGCTCAGTCTCTCTCCCAGCCCACATTCTCTCTCCTAACAGTCTCTCTCAGTCTCTCTCCCAACAGTGAGTATCCCTTGGTATCTCACTCAGCAATGTGTGTCTGTTGCGTCTCTTTCAGGAGCGCGTGTCTCTTTCAGCAGTCTTCCTCAGCCAGCAGTCAGAGTTCTGCCTCTAGGAGGCCTCCTTTTGAGCTTGGCAGAGTGGCCAAACCAACCAATCATAACAGCAGAATTCTAAGCACTTGAGAGTGAGCCTGCCATAACAGTGCATTGTGCCACACCCAACAGAAATAACCCAGGTGGATAACATTTACAATCAGAAGCTCCTCAGTTGCTCATTCTACCACTGAGTTTACAATGACTTACGGGTAGAAAAGCCATACTAAGTAATTTACTACACTGCACTATGGTACTGTATTTTTTGAACCCCATTGAGATGTACGTTGTTGTTAACTGTTGTCAGGTTGACTCCTAAGTCATGGTGACCCCATGCGCAGCAGAATGAAATAATGGATTGTGCTGTTGTGATCTGTAGGGTTTCATTGACTAAGTTTCAGAAATAGGTGGTCTTTACAGTTTATCTCAGTCTGGAATCTCTGCTGAATCCCGTTCAGCATCATAGCAACACACAAGCCAAGTTACATGCTTTTCATTTTATTCTGTTAACAATTGTATTTCAATTTTATTTTTAAACTTGATTCTCTGCAGCTAAACTATAGAGAATTCTCTATAGCCTCTTGTTATTTAGTGGATTTTGTTTTATTTTTGTAGTTGGGAAATTACTATACTGTGTACTATATTTTGTATACAAAAATCTTAATTTTTACTACCCCATAATTATGATCTACTTGTTGACCTAGAGTTTTGAGCAGTATAGGTAGAGAAAGTTGCTTGTGTCCATTTTCATTACATAAATGTTGGTGTTGGACTGAAGAGATATTTTATCTGAACTGAAATGATCTTCTGGTTTTAGATAATTAGAAAATAATATGGTTACAGTCAGGAATGTTTATGTTAAATTAGATTATGTATGTTAGAGAATAAAAAAATCACAGTGCTGCCTCAAATTATTAGCGTACGGCACCATTCCTGTTCTCTTTTGAAAGATTTCTATTTCTGAAGTATTGTTTTAGATCACCTTTGAAAGAAATATCATTTAAGGTAGACTTAACTTTATTAAGGGTAGAAATGAGTAAAAGTCTGAGACCTATACTAGTTTCTGGTGATTTTGACCATATCTCCATAATGACCATATCTTTCTTGTTACCTGTAAAAATCATGCTTATATAAATGTGAAAAAATATTAAGGCCTTTGATATATGTAGCTATAGTAGCTATGGTATTGTTTTTTATTTCTAAACCTTTATAGAATTCACAGTAAACATACTTTAGTCAAGATTATTTATTGGTTCATCTTGTAAATATTATTTTTCTTGGGTGGTATAATGTAGTTTTATTTTTGGCTGATAATTGTTTTTGTAAAACTTGAGGAAAGAACTGTTTTTATCTAGCAAACAATCCTTTATGCTTTATACATGATTCTTTTTGTTGTGTTTTGAAAAAAGTTGGGTCAGAGGAAAGGAAGGAAAATGGTCATTATATAATCATCTGGTTTCCTTTGTAATCTGTAAAACAAATATTGAAGTGCAATTTCCTTTCTGAGTAGAAGTATTAGGTTTAGTTGTAGTTATTAATAATTTAGAAATCTATACAACCTAAAGCCAAATGAATTTTTTTTCTCATTTTGTTCTTGGTTTGTCTAGAAGCCCTCCTGAAGTCTGCTTCCTTACTTTTATGCTGTAGTAAGGTTGTGAGATACGTGCATGTTTGTGTCATTTTCTTAAATAACAAATATGTAAGGTTTTTAGATATGATTTTTACTGTGTGAACTAGAACACTGTTTTCTGTAGAATCATATAGTAAACAACTGTTAAAAAATCATCATTGTTTTATTCTTTAACCAAAAAAAAAGCTAAACTCGCTAATGTCAAGTCTGTTCTGACTCATAGCGACCCCTCCTTGAGTTTTTTAGGGGGTCTCACTTCTGGAGTAGATTGCCCAGTCTTCCTTCTGAGGAGTAGCTGCTGGGTTTGAACTGCCAGCCTTCTGATTAGCAGTTACGTGCCTTAGGCACTCTTTGTTGTTGTTGTTGTTGTTATGTGCCGTCAAGTCAGCCCTGACTCATAGCGACCCCTCCTTGGGTTTCCGAGGCAGTGTCACTACGGAAGTAGGATTGCCCAACCTTTCTTCCGAGGAGTGGCTGGTGGGTTTGAACCGCCAGCCGTCTGGTTAGCAGGCAAGTGTCTTAGCCACTATGCTACCAGAGGCACTCTTTAGGAAATGTTAATCCATTTAATAAATATATGTATTTAATACATTTACGTTAAACAACTGTATATCATTTGTACACATTTTTATGAAAGATTTATAAATTGTGGTAAACTTAGTTCTTCCCTTCATGTTGTAAAATATAATAGAACTTATATGGGGATAGGTTTTTGGGCCCTCGTAGTGCCTAAGGCATTTGACTGCTAACCAGAAGGCTGGTGGTTCAAACCTACCAGCCACTCCTTGGTAGGAAGATTGGGCAATATATTTCCGTAGAGATACTGCCTCGGAAATCCAAGGAGGGGTTGCTGTGTGTCGAATTGACTTGATGACAGTGAGTTTGGTTTGAATAAATAAAGGAGCTCTGATGGCATAGTGGATAAGGCACGTGACTGCTAACCAGAAGGTCAGTGGTTCAAACTTACCAGCTGCTCCATGGAAGGAAGACGAGGATATCTGCTTCCGTAAAGATTCACAGCCTTTGGAAACCCAGTGGAGGTCACTGTGAGTTAGAAACAACTCTATGGCAGTGAGTTTAGGAGCTCTCATGGCATAGTGCCTAAGGCATCTGACTGCTAACCAGAAGGCTGGAGGTTCAAAACCCACCAGCCACTCCTTGGAAGGGAGGATTGGGCAATCTCCTTCTATAGAGACACCACCTCAGAAACCCAAGGAGGAGTTGCTGTGAGTCGCAATCGATTCCACAGCAATGAGGTTTTTTTTTTTTTTTTTTTTAAATAAAATAAAACATAGTTGTAAACCATTTTAGTGTGTTATGTTTTATGGCTTCAATAAATTGCTGAGTGCAGCATTATAGCAACTGCTGGGGAGCAGGGAAGGATGGCTTGTTTTAATGTAAATATTTACTTTATTTAGGTTTTGTCTGTAGTCATATTTTATAAGTTTAAAAGATTAATAAATGTAAAGAAATGTTAGCAAATCCATGTCTCAGAGTTGATAATTTCTCTTATAGGTGACAGATTCCGCTCTATAATTGATGACGCTTGGTGGTTTGGAACAGTGTTAAGTCAAGAACCATATCAGCCACAATATCCTGATAGTCATTTCCAGTGTTACATTGTTAGGTTTGTATATAGATGAAAATACTCATCTACAAACATTTGTTCAGTGTGGCAGGTTGTTGTATAACTAAGACATTTCAGGTTAAAAGTAATACAGTTTAATCTGTCATCAAGTCGTGTCAGTCTGAGCTCTTGACATGTCTTTCACATATTCCCTGAGTGCTCCCTTTGCTTGAAGTTCTGCTCTTTTCATATGGACTATCTCTGAAGCCTTGTAATTATTTCTCTACCTAATACTGTCAGGAAGCTCTGGTGGCGTAGTGCCTAAGGCATTTGACTGCTAACCAGAAGGCTGGTGGGTTAAACCCACCAGCCACTCCTTGGAAGGAAGGTTGGGCAATCTATTTTCGTAGTGATACTGCCTCAGACACCCAAGGAGGGGGTTGGTATGAGTTGGATCTGACTCGACGGCAATGAGTTTGGTTTTTGGCTTATTTTAATACTGTCAGGGTCATACTTCAGAAACAGGTGTTTTATCATTTTCCCTTGCTTAAAGAAATCTGTGATACCTTTTTGTTGGTTGTGCAATAAAGTCCACAGCGTGACATTCAGTGCCTTGACATTTTGTCTTTGACTTTTTTCCTTACTTGCTGTGAGTACTGACCCCATAGAATTTCTTGCTTTGCCCTTGAACCTGCCATACATTCTTTATGCATGTCTATGTATCTTTTTTTTTTTTTTAAATAAAAGTTACCATTAAGATTTCATTGCTACAGTTAAGTTGATTTTCACATTTTCTGTCTTTTTATTTACTCACATGAGTTTTCTACCTATTAGCTACATTGTGTCCTTATGAAAGACTAACCAAACTTTTTTTTTTTTTTCTCTCCTGGTGGGTTTATCAGATGGGACAATACTGAAATTGAAAAACTTAGCCCATGGGACATGGAACCAATTCCTGATAATGGTATGTAAAATTAATTGTTTACTAGATGAATGTATTGTATCTTTATATAATTTTTTAAAAATTTTTATTGTTATTTGGGTAAAAGTTTGCAGAGCAAACTTTATCAAATTATATTTGATAAATTAATTTAATTACATTAATTTATAATATTAATTATATTAATTAATTCTATTTGATTAATTTAGCAAATTATATCATCCATACAGCAGCTCACATACACTTTGTCTCATGACATTAACTACAATTTATCACAGTGCAACAGCTTCCCTCCCAACTCCTCCCAGCAGTTACCTCTTTCCTGTGTCCTTCCCTCCCATGCACTCCTGCCCCCTGAGCTGTCTCCCTGTGCATACACAGCCCTTCTGTTCTCCCATGATTGATCTTTCCAAGGAGTGTGTAGCTACCTATTGTAAATGTTCAACTCATATGCTTGTTTTTTGTTTGGTGGCGTAGTGCCTAAGGCATTTGACTGCTAACCAGAAGGCTGGTAGTTCAGACCCACAAGCCAGTCCTTGGAAGGAAGGTTGGGCAGTCTACTTCTATAGTAATACTGACTTGGAAACCTGAGGGGAGGAGTTGCTATGAGTCAGATCCAACTCAATGGCACTGAGTAGTTTGGTTTTTTTGTTTTTGTTTTTTTTTTTTTTTTTGGAAGCCATAGGAGTGGGTTCAATTCCAGACCTAGAGGGCAACTAGGGGCCTTAGTCGCAGTGGGGCCATCAAGCTCTATCAGACCAGCAAACCTGGTCTTTTTTTGTTTTTAAATGATTTTGAGTTTAAATGTTCCACATTGTTCTCCCACTCTATCCAGGGTCTCCCACAGAGATCTCCCTCCAAGTGGTTGACAGTGGTAGCTGGGCACCATTTAGTTCTTCTGGTCTCATAGTCATATAGGCTGAGGATCGCATGATGTACCAGTTGCTTGGACTAATTGTTTTCATATGTTTTTGGTTTTCTTCATTCTTCTTTGCTCTGGATAAGAAGAGACCCATCGTTGCATCTAGATGGCTGCTTGGAAGCCTTTAAGATCCCAGTTGCTACTTGCCAAAGTAGGGTGTGGAACAATGTTTTTGTGTAGTATGTTATACCAATTGAGCTTGATAACTCCTACAACTATGGTTGTAAGCCTACAGGCCTAACTAACTACTCATTCCCTCTGGGTAACTGGCTGTGGTCTTTATATAATTTTCAATTTTAAAATGTCTGCAGAACATTTGTATTCTTTGAAAAATGTTTTCAAATCATCATAACCTATCATAATATATGGGAGCTCTGGTGGCGAAGTACCTGAGGCACTTGACTGCTAATTAGAAGGCTGGTGGTTCAAACCCACCAGCTAATCCTTGGAAGGAAGGCTGAGCAATCTACTTCATACTGGCTTGGAATCCCAAGGAGGGGATTGGATCTGATTCGATGGCAGTGGGTTTGCTCATAAGGTGAGCATTAATAATAGAAAACAACAGAATTAAGTGTGTTTGGCTAGTTCACTCTTCTCACATTCCAGATTGATGCTGTATTTCAGCATCCCGCTGTGGTTTCCTGTTTATTCTTGATTTAAACTCTCACTGATCACCATATGGCATTCATTTTTTTCCCTCAACCTTACTCTGTTACCCTTGTTCTTCCTTCAAAGAAAGATCTAACTTCTATTTGTCTCCAGCTTTACGTCAACAGTTTGTTTTACTGTGAGTTGTGTATTCTGTTCTTCTGAGAAATAGATGTCCTTGTTCTAAGCCAGCCCTTCCTCAAGTGCTTTAGTTCATTGCTTTTTACTTTCCAAAGGACCTGGTACTTAATATTCACCTTCATTTCTCCATCAATTTTAGCTTCCTTCTTCTCTGGTATGGTAAATTTGTATTAGTTTTCCAAAACACCTTTTATTTGACTTTATTGAACATCTTCAGTAATGGGTTATTTATCTCTTGTGTAAACTTTTTGAAGGAGTGCTCTATATCCCTTGCTTTCAGTTTTTCACTACTAAGTTTTTAAAATCATTAGTCATAAATCTAAAAGGGGAGGAGTGTGGATGAGAACCAAGCCATTTAGCTCTACCCAATGCTTTTATCTGTCTTAGTCTGGAAGCTCCACTGCATCCTGTCCACGTGGGTGACCCTGCTAGTATTTGAAATACTGATGAAATAACTTCTAGCATCATAACATACACAACCACCACAGTATGAAAAACTACTGGATTAGAAAGAGGGATGTGGATAGCTCCACTTCTTAAAAATTGGTCACTGAAAACCTTATAAATAGTAGGGAAAGATTTTCTGATAGACTGCTGGAAGATGAGTCCTGTAGGTTGAAAGGCACTTAAAATACGACTGGGAAAGTGCTGTCTCCTCTAAGTAGAGTCAATCCTTAGTAATAGTGGAGTAAAGCTTTTGGTGATGTGGCACATCATTTGCTGATGTGGCACAACTCAACAAGAGAAGAAACAGCTGCAAACATCCATTAATAATTGGAACATGCAATGTATAGATTATGAATTTAGGAAAATTGGAAGTTGTCAAAAATAAAGTGGAATGCATAAAGATTGATATCCTAGGCATTACTGAACAAAAAAGTACTGATATTAACCATTTTGAATTGGACAGTCAGTCACATGGTCTTTTATGCTGGGAATGACAAAGAGGAGTGCATCACATTCATCATCAAAAAGAACATTTTCAAGATCGTTTCCTGAAGTACAGTGCTGACAATGATAGGCTAATATCCATGTGGCTATATGAAAGAGGAGTTAACACTATTATTCTTCAAATTTATGCATCAACCACTAAAGCCAAAGATGAAGAAATTGAAGATTTTACCAACTTCTGCAGTCTAAAATTGACCAAATGTGAAATCAGTACGTATTGATTATTATTGGTGATCGGAATGTGAAAGTTGGAAATGAAGAAGCATTGGTAGTTAGAAGTTACAGCCTTAGTGATAGAAATGACACTGGAGATTGTATGATAGATTTTTACAAGACCAGTAACTTATTCACAGAAAATGCTTTTTTTTTTTTAAAAAGTAACAAATGGTAACTGAACATGTGAACCTTGCCAGATGGAATACATGGGAAGTGAATTGACTGACTTACATGTATGGAAAGAAATGATGCAATAGCATTACTCAAAACGAGGCCAGGCACTGACTGGAATAGACCATTAATTGCTCATATGCAAGTTCAAGTGGAAGCTGAAGAAAATTAAGTCCACAAGTGCCAAAATATGACTTTGAATATATTGCACATGAATTTAGAAATCATCCCAAAGAGAGATTTGACACAATGAGTACCAAGGACTGAAGACCAAATGAGTTGTGGGATTACATCAAGAACGTCATATGTGAAGAATACAAAAAGTCACTAAAAAGACAGGAAAGGAAGAGAAGACCAAAATATTTGTCATAAGAGACTTTGAAACTTACTCCTAAATGGAGAGTTGTTGTTGTTAGGTGTTGTCGAGTCATTTCCAACTCATAGTGATGCCATGCACAGCAGAACGAAACATTGCCTGATCCTGTGCCAGCTCCATGATCCCTGCTATACGTGAGCCCATCATCGCAGCCACCACGTCAACCCATCTCGTTGAAGGCCTTCCCCTCTTTCGTCGTCGACCCTCCACCTTACCAAGCATGACGTCCTTCTCCAGGAAATGGTCCCTTCTGACAACCAAAGTAGGTGAGATGAAGTCTGGCCATTCTTGCTTCTAAGGAGCATTTCGGCTGCACTTCCTCCAGGACAGATCTGTTAGTTCTTTTAGCAGTCCATGGTACTTTGATCATTCTTCACCAGCACCACAACTCAAAAGCTTCAACTCTTTTTTGGTCTTCCTTATTCATTGTGCAGCTCCCACATGCATACAAGGCATAAATGGAGAGTAGCTAAAGCAAATGGAGGAAATGATGAAATAAAAGAGCTGAACAGAAGACTTCAAAGACCAGCTTTAGAGGACAAAGTGTAAAGTATTATAATGAAATATACAAAGACTAGGAATTGGAAAATCAAAAGGGACAGTTGCTGTTTCTCAAGTGGAAAGAACTGAAGAAAAACATTGAAGCTTCGAGTTGTGATATTTAAGAATTCTATGGGCAAAAGATTGAACAATGGAGGAAGCATCAAAAGAAGATGGAAGGCATACTGTACCAAAAAAATTAGTTGATGTTCAACCGTTTCAGGAGCTAGAACATGATCAGGAACTTACAGTATTGAGGAAAATGTCCAAGCTGCATTATAGGCATTGCTGAATAACAATAATATATGAATTGACAGAATACCAATTGAGATGTTCTGACAAACAGATGCAGCTAGATGAAGATAACTACCTGGCTTGTGATTACCTGGTAAACTGATTAGAAGAGATACATATTTGAGCCATAGTTCATTTTTTTTAAAAAAAATGGTATTTAAAAATCAAAATCTGGGTATTTGTTGTACACCCCTGTTACTTACTGTTTTTAAAATAGCTTTAGAAAACAATTTCTGTCTAGTCACTTCTGACCCATAGTGACACTCTTGTGTGTCAGAGTAGAAGTCTTGCATAGGATTTTCAATGACAAGTTTTTTTGGAAGTAGATTATTAAGCCTTTCTTTTAAGGCATTTTTGAGTGAACTTGAACCTCTACCTTTTCAGTTAGCAGCCAAGCATATTAACCAGGGACTCTTACATAGATTTATTGAGATGTTATTCCCATACAATAAATTTCATTCAGTAAAAGTACTTTTAGTATATTTACAGAATTATGCAGCCATTACCACATCAATTTTGGAACATTTTTATCACTCTACAAAGAAACCTTGCAGTTCTTTGGCTACCAGCTCACAGTCTCTCCATCCTTCAATCCTAGGCAGCTGCATCAATCTCTCTATCCTCCATTCCTAGGCAACTGCTAATCTGTTTTCTGCCCCTATAGATTTGTGCCTATTCTGAGCATTTCAGATAAAGGAAATTACACAAAGTTTCACCGAGTGTGTCTGGCTTCTTTCACTGAGCATAATATTTCCATGGTTCATT